TGAGAAGTGAAGTCCCAGACAGCTATTGCATGATGGATTTTAGCCACACATCAAGTACCTAAACCTAAGCCATTTCCCAAGAGGGCTGAGCTGGATTTCTTGATGGTATTTTGCTGCCCTGTGTCACAGGCCACCATCTCCTAAGCAAAGCCCCACCCTGGGCTGTGTGCCTTCTCAGCATCTGTCAAACTAGACCATCCATCCCCAATCTGCATGGGTTTCTCAGTGGAAGTTTTTTTTTTTTTGAAAACAATTTTATTGTTTTTTTAACAAACAAACAAACAAACAAAACATAAAAACATCAGCTCTCATCCGTACTTATATACAAACAGTGTGTCGGTTGGTTCATCAGTTTTGTGCATTCATTTCGTAGTCACAATTACAATTACCTTACATAATAACTCTTATTATCAATCCAAACTTATATATCCTCATATCATTATTGAAAAAAAAAAGATTTGACTATACTTTTATTCAATCATGCCTTATGAGATAACTATAATTTAAGTAATTTATCCTATAACAAATCATATAATCATACCAATTCTATCCTTAAAAAAAAGAAATTTTTTTTTTTATAAATATAATGTCAAATACCAAAAGAAAAAAGAAAAGTAAAATCAATAATATTCCTTATTGCCTAACATTCTAAATATTCGATTTTTGTATTTCATCATCTAGCCATTGATAGAAAAGGTCCCAAATTGTATAAAATTGTTTATCTTCTTGCTCTCTAATTTCAAATGTCAATCTACTCATCTCAGCACATTCCAATATTTTCTTAATAACTTCTTCCTGCAATGGAATTTTCTCATTTTTCCAATTTTTTGCAAATACAATTCTAGCCGCAGTTAATACATTTACAATCAAATATTTCAAATCTTTACAGTGGAAGTTTTTTTTTAGCACTGAACATAGGCTTAAATGTTGCAGGCATGACAACAGGTTTGTTATTATAGGCTCTGGCCTTTAGCTGCTAATCTATCTGCAAGCACAACTGAATTAATTCTTACAATGTGTCCAGGCATTTACTTTCTACTAATTTTTAAATAATTGCATCTGCCAACTCTTCCTGAAATTGGTCATCAGGAGCAACTGCATTCTGCAAAGTATGTTTTTGAAGGAGGAGCATGGAAAGGCTCAAGAGCAGAGTCAAGGTTGTAAAGATCTAAGGTTCAAGAGTGAAATTCATATCCAGGGATTACACTTGAGCTAAATGTTTTTCCCATTGAACAGAAGGAACCCAGTCTTATATAGAGGCTGATGCTCCTTGGAATGTTATTGCGGCCAATTCAGTGGTGGGATTTAAAATTTTTTACTATCGGTTCTCTGGGCATGGCTTGGTGGGTGTGGCATGGCTTGGTGTTCACGGCAGGGGAAGAATACTGTAAAATCTCCATTCCTTCCCATTTCTGAGGGAAGGTTATTGCCCGTTCTCCAAACTACTCAAAATTCTGATCAGAACTGGTCAGAACCTACAGAATACTACCTCTGAGCCCATTGTTACTCATTGTAATCTTAATTCTGTTGCTAGGAAACTAACCTAATGGAATCTTTCTTCTGCTCTTCTTTCCTCTTGGCTATGACAAGGTAACTTCTCAAGAGCTAAAAGAAAAAAAATAAAAGAGACAAAAGATAAACTTGTCTTGTCCTCTTTTGGATATCTCCTGCTTTAGTTAGATCACCATTAAATATAATTCTGACATTTTTAATTTCTTGAATAAAATTCTCTCCAAAGTCCATGTCTTTCAAACTTTAAATGAAATTTCTCAAAAGCTTTCTCTGGATAAAATTTCAGATTTGCCCTGATCTGAACAAGGAAGGTCAAGGTGCCTGGTGCATGATCTGGTGTTGTGATCTGGGAGAAGTTTGAGCTGGCAACTCCAAAGCAAAGGGATAAAGTTCCCTGAGAAATCCAGAAACCCCCCACAATGCTGGTTTTTTTAAAAAGGGTTTTGAACTTTTTGCCCTTTCTACATGCTTCAATTTGGGAAAGACCTAATAGTAAGTTGGGGGGCACTGAAGACACAGATGAGAGCAATTACACTGACAAAGGTTCTCAAACCAATTTGACTAAAACAGATTTCCAGATATTACATCATGGGCTTTTTATTGAAAAGCTTTGTAGAGTTGGAAATGTGAAAAATGTGAAGGGACATTTTATTAGGCTCGGTGGACATGCAAAAAAGATTTAAAATAGTTTTCAAATACGGAAGAATTTAAAGATAAATATTCAATATTTCCTTTGAGGATTGATAGAAGAACAGTTAGGAAAATGCCATGGAATTTACATGCACATACACACAGAGACACGCACAGAGAGAGGGGGGGAATATACCTGCAGGAATTGAATTTAATCCAATGTTCTGTGCAAGATTGTAAATTAAAGATTAGCTCAGCTATATTCAATGAAATACATCATTCAAAGGAGGACTCAGAGAAGAAAAACAAATTAAAAAATGAACAGAGTTAAAAAAAATAAACAAAACATTTCATACCAATCTTTGAAAACTAAGTTAATCACATACATGGTTTGAAGAAAATTGGCACATGTATATGATTAACAGCTTCTCTCTAAAACAACAGAATAACAGAAGACACTGTAAAAAGCTTGGCCCCAAATAACAGGGTCCCAAGTAACAGCCCAGATGAAATCAAAACTCCAAGACCAGAGGCTGCCTCAAAGTATAGAATTAGTAGGCATGCCATATTGGCACAGCTGGTGGAAACCCGATTCTGAAATTCCTTGAGTTTTCCCCACCCAATTCAAAATCCAAAGTTCTTCCCTCCATTACACACAATCATCACATGCCCCAATCAGTCCCAAATCCGGATGGCTCCCATCCATGCCCCTCCAGGTGTTGGTGAGAGTGTCCTTGGTTCCCAGAAGAAAGAATGTTATTTTGGCTACATATTCCCCTCAGCTATCTCTACTCCCCATTCCTTTCCCACAGCTCTATCCTGCCCCATTACGGCAATGCTGAATACATTGCAAGATTGCTCCAGGGTTGACTATGTGTTCCTGCAGATGCATCAGGAAAACCAGACTTTCTCCAAATCGGTTATAGTTGCAGATCATGGCAAAGTTCTTAAATACTACATATTTATCCTGGTCCGAGAAGGGATGAGAGAGGCTGAGAACTTCTTGGGTGCTAGAAATAGCTATGATTGTTGAGGTAATTCCCCGTTAGGAGAATGAGTGCACACAAGGAGATGTAGTGAGAGTGGTATTGAATAACACATGACCAGCATACAGATACACTGAATAATAAAATGTAGGTTTTTGCTTTCAGTAAATGGTTAAGCAAAGTCCAACAAGCAGTCCAAGTCATGCATGGTTAAAGCAGTCAGTTTTCACTTCAGGGATAATTCAAATAACAAAGTCCAGTATTACACACAGTTCAGTAACAGACTTACAGAAATCCAATAAGAACGACGCTCAGCAACAGTCAATAGGAACAATGCAGGAACCAAAAATAGTGAACATCAGAATATCTAGCAACAACAGAACTAACAACCCAAGTTTCTGGCTCCATCTTATGGCCGTTTGAGGAACCACACCCAATTACAATTTTAGCATTCCCTTAAAGAGACAGTATTAAATGTCTATCCAGGTTTATATATTTCCAACCCAAGTGTTAGGTGACTATTAATTCCTAACAATGATAAAGCCAAGAAGGGAGATACACCCAACCAAACTTATTTCTGCTGAATTTGAAAACCTATGTGCTGATTTCAGGAGGAATTCCTTATTTGAATGGGATATCCTTGCAAACTTCCATTTCCAAAAGTTAAGATCATGTGTTCTGAATCAGATCAGGACCCATCTTTATGTCTCAGCACCTTCCTCTAACTCACATTTATACATTTCTTCTGGTGGTAAGATGCTCCTTTGTATTTAAGTCTGGCCTCAAAATGATAATGTAGCACTTGGGGCAGAAGATACAGACCAGCAGACCAGCACTGGAAGCCAAGATGGAGAAGACCTGCACAGCCACCATATATTTCCCTTTGGTGTTCAGGTAGGTGGGCAGGAAGGAGACCCAAACATTGCAGAAGACCAGCATGCTGAAGGTGATCAGCTTGGCTTCATTGAAGGTTCCAGGAAGATTCCTGGCCAGGAAAGCCATTGTGAAGCAAATGGCAGCCAGGAAGCCCATGTAACTGAGGGTGATGTAGAACATGAAAACAGAGCCTTCATTGCATTGCAGGATGATCTCTCCAGGCTGAGAGTGGAAGTCTGAGTCACAGAATGGGGGAGAAATTCCCAACCAGATGGAGCAGATCATAATTTGGACACTAGAACTAGAAAGGATGATGGAGTTGGCCAAGCTCTTCCCCAACCATCTCTTCACTCGGTTTCCTGGTTTTGTGGCAAGGAAAGCCAGCACCACTGTGATGGTTTTGGCCAAGAGAGAAGAAATGGCAACTGAGAAGATGATGCTGAAAACTGTTTGTCGGAGAAGGCAGGTAGCTTTCCTTGGTTGACCAATGAAGAGAAAAGAAGACAAGAAGCAAAGCAGGAGGGAGACCAGGAGGATGTAAGAGAGGTCTCGGTTGTTGGCTTTCACAATGGGAGTTTCTAGATGTTTAATGAATATGATTAAAACAAGGCCTGTAGCTAAGAACAAGAATAGGGCAAAAGAGACCAGAATGATTCCCAGATGTTCTCCATAAGAAAGGAAAGATATAACTTTGGGGATACATTGGATTCTGCCCTCATTTGGATATTTTTCATCTGGACACTTGGTGCATTTTTCTGTATCTGTGTAAACAAAAAATGCAATATTTTTTAAATATTCTGTAGCTTCATGAAATACCTTCTTGTGACCACAATTGCTACTAATAGCATTTTCCAAGAAGCATTGCTTAAAATATCTACAGAGAGAAGGTAAGAAGAATATCATTTTCTTAAAAAAAGCTATATTTTTATACTTTATGAAATTGGAAAAAGTCCTGGAACCTGGATGATTTCTTGTGCAGTTTGCAGAACCTACATTATTACAGGTAGATAATGAATCAATTAATCTTTCTAGGCACATTTCCTGGATCCTGACAGATGGCACTTCTTAATATACTTGACTCTGGATGCCTCTCTTTTGAAATCTAATTAGCTGGGGGGGAAATAATCTGGAATCCAAACTATAAAGCAGAACAGATTTATTTTCTGTCAGCAGAGAAGCTTATCTGATCTGCTAAACCTTCCTATCTCTTCCTAGGCCCTCCTCAAGGTTTTCTGCTATTCTTCCCTCTAGATATGAAATTGTGCAATTTGAAAATAATAGCAATAGCAACAGTGCTTAGACTTATAAACTGCTTCATGTGTTTTACAGCCCCCTCTAAGCAGTTTACAGAGTCAGTCTATTGCCCCCAACAATCTGGGTCCTCATTTTACCAACCTCGGAAGGATGGAAGGCTGAGTCAACCTTGAACCAGGTGAGAATTGAACGGCTGAACTACTGGCAAAAAACAACAACAATTGAGCTTCAATTTGTCTTTTAATTTGCACTTTCATGACAGTGTTTCAACGGAAGAATCCACTTCCACAAAGCCCACCCTTTTCTTTGGTGTCTCCCACCTTCATGAATGGAGATGGTCCCCTCAGGACAAGGAACACAGTCATAGCAGCAAATGGGCTCTCCTTCCCGCTTTTGCTTGACAAATCCAGGATGACAATTTTCCACACATTGGGACTGAGGCAGGGACTAAGCAGAAAAGGATGGAATTTGAAACAGTATAGATTGGGACAAAGCACACATGAAAATGGAGGTAGACATTAACATTAGCCAAATAATTCCTGGGGTTCACTTAGATAAATCTGAAATCATTGACTCATTCCAAACAGATTCAGGAGAGATAAATGCTGGCAGATTGTTCATTCCCCTTTGATCTTGGCATCTAACATTGAAATAAAGAATTTTTTGATTTAAGAAGACTGGAGGATGGAATTGAAAAGATTTAAGGCTTAAGTGACAACCAGTTTGTTGTTAACATACATTTCTCCATTCTTGTCATAATTATGATTTTAAAGTACAGTACAATGATCTTGCATTAAATTTTGGAAAAGAAATTTTTTTTAAAGATTTATTAAATTTTTATTATATTAGATTTATTAAATAAAATGTAACTGTATGAAGAAAGAAACTTCAGACCAGTAGAATCTTCTGGATCAGTAGGATACTTCTTCTAGAGTGTAAAAAACATTGCAAAACTGCTGCCCTTTGAAAGTAATCCAAAACCATCCTCCAATTAAAACACAAAGGGAGAAAAATCCTTAAAAATTAGGGCTTTCTTTATTTGTGTTTCTTTATATGACTAAGACTAAAACTAAAACTGACTGCCTAGTTTCTAGAACTGGGTGTCAATTCGTAAATCATTCCTATGCCTGTTTCTGAGTTGCCATAAGAAGGAGGGGGAAGGCCTGAGGGAGCAGTGCAGCAGATGAAGGCCAGAAGCACATTCCACACTTACCTTGTAGAGATTGTAGCCTAGGCTACTGGATCTTCTGCCTCTGAAAGTCCTTCATTGGAGAGTGTGATTGATGACACCCAGCCTGTCAATATGTTTCATTGGAGAATCTGATTTATGACACACCCAGGGGGGTGGGGGAGAAATAGGGTCATAGGTGGTAGTAAATTATGTGTCTCAGAGTTGGCTTCATACAGGTTAGTGCTGGATTTGTTGCTCCTAATAAAACTTTTGGATTCTTTGGAAGCTTGGCTCCAGACTCATTATTTAATTAGGGCAATTGTCGGAACCTCTTACACTGAGGTGAGATGAGATGCAAGAGAGGCCATGAGAACTTGTCCCTCAAAAGGGGATCTTTTCATCTTCAGCAGGCAAGACAAGATTAGGAGATTTGTGTCCAGCTCTACAACTAGAACTACTACTAGTTGTAGTTGTAAGAACTACAACTAAGGGACATCATCTTACATGGAAAGACAAGTCTACATTTCTTATTAGTTAAAGTTGAATCCTCCTTGTTGCTCAGAGGGACTTAATGTAGCTAACAATAAAGTTTTAAAAAATGCATTCAGATTGTTGGCAGTTAAAACCCACCCCTTTCCTAGAAAAAATTAAATATTTTAGGATATACTAAAAAGGAAGAATATTTCCCCTAAAAGGGAAGTAGAAACTCAAAGAGGCAGTAGCTCACCCTCCCACCTTTGTTAATGGGCCATTAAGGCCTGGCCCAGTCTATTCTACATAACAAAGATCTACCTCCTTCAGGCAGAGCCATTTCATTGCCTTTCGTTGCACTACCCACCAAGTTTCAACAAAATTTAGCACACGGACAACCTAAAAAGCTAGCTATGATCTCTGACAGCAACTAATCAGAATATTCTTCCTGTGTCCCAGGAAGTTCAAAGCCAGAGAGGTTATAAATCCCAAGGACTCTAAGCATCTCTTCCCTTTTCTTCGTCCAAGAGCTCCAAGCCATGTGATCCTGTACACCATTAAACCATCTTTGCAAACACCCTCCATGTTTCCGGTGTCTTTTTCCCCATTTGGAACTGAACTCAGAAAGATATTTTTTCCAACAAGATGAAGTACCCTCTTACAAGCCAAAGCCCAAATCTAAGTAGCATCTCCTTTCAAATTATTCCAGAATGAAAAAGTGTTTTTTCTTCCAATCAAAGTCTTCTTTCGGTGCTTCAGTTTTCCAGGTTATGAGCATTATCTCCCATCAAAACAACCTTTATGATTTCATGTGAAACATGAATGTTTTTGGAGCTTCTTCAGAGGAGCAGAAGGCCTATTGCTTTATCCCAGTGGGATGAAAGAGAGATATGGATAATTCTGGCCAAGTTTAGAGGGCTTAAAAACATTATAGAACACCATGGTTTCCTGCCTAGGCAGGGAGGTTGGGCTAGAAGACCTCCAGGGTTCCTTCCAACTCTGTTATTCTATCCTATTCTATCTGTGACCTTTCAAGAGAGACATTCTTCAATCTGGACAAGGTGAGCCTTATTTCTCACATGGACCAACAGGACTTCTAACCAGTCATATTTCATCTGATTCAGGGGTGGGATTCAACCAGTGTAATAATTGGTTTGGTGAGCATGCATTTTGCGTACGTACACATGTGCTTTGTGCATATGCCCATATACAACATTTGAATCTTATTTCCTCCTTTTTCAATCTCAGCTGTGCCACACAAAGCAGCTGAGGTTGAAAAAGCAGGAAATAAAAGACAGCCTAGAGGCCAGGCAGGCGAGTGGGACAAACAGAAGAACAGAAGATTGTTGTTCACTGTCAGCTGATCTTCGGAGCTACCAGTATAGCAGAACCGGGCCAAACTGGTAGAATCCCACCTCTGATCTGATTCAGTCCAAACCTTAATGCAGACATTGGTTAAAAGAACCTGAAGCTATTAGCAACACAAATGCCAGCACTTGAATATTTCTCACCAGCTTGATCCCAAAAGAATAATTACCCAGCATCCAATATTGGACATGACTAAATCCATTTAGAAGAATATTCCTTATCATGGTATCTGAAGGACACTTTTGTGAATGATACTGAAGTCCCCATAGTCCATCTAACAAAATGTTAAGTTTTCTCTTCTGTACATTCAACTCTGAGTAAGGGTCATCCACATTGGTGACTAGAATTAACACACTTGAAAATGGGTCATAATCTTTAGAAGAAAAGAGAAAACACAGCAATATTTGACCTACCTTGTTGAGCAGATTTAGAGAGGAAAGAGCAATTTCATTAATAATAACTCTCTGTCTTTCAACACTCCCCAGTTTCCTTTTGATCAAATCCCCCTCTGGCAAAATCACCATGAACTCAATGTCCAAATCTGCAGCTATTTCTCCATTATGGTCCAGGTAAACTTTCCAGTGGGAAAGATTGTGGAACTCATTCTTCTCCAGAAAGGGATGGAACTAGAATGGAAACATAAAAGAATTTTAAAAGCAGAAAACTTGGTTTTATTCTATCCCACCTGGTATTTTCATGTATGAATTTTTCTTCTACTTTTTTTTCTTAATGTGCAAACATGCTTAATTAGGACAACTGGGGTCACTAAGCTCATAAGTGAATAAGAAAGGTTCAGCAAAAATTGGCAATCGTATATTGAAAACATATTTATTGAGACTATATAATAGACACGTTTGATCAATTATAGGAAACATTCTACAGCAGGTATCAACTAAAGTGAACAACAGCAAAAAAGAGATTAGGAAAAACAATAACTTCTATAGGAAAAGAATACTATTGATAAGTTTTCAAATAATGTTTCAAGACCAAGTCAGCCAGGAAGAGATCAAGTTATGTAGAAAGAAGCCACCAAATTTATAGTTGATTAAATTACCCACTAGACTCTTTATGTGCCCTCTTTGCCAGCTTCCTTGCAAAACTGACAAACCACATGCAGCAAAAGCATTCCTGAGAATAATAAGATTAGAAAGATTTTTTCTATCTTGTACTTAATACAACAAATGCAATCCTGTACCAAAAAGGACAAATGTAATCAACCAAGTGTGAACTCTGATCTTGTGAAAGAAGACATGTTGTAAACAACAAAGGAACATTTTGTATAAAATTGTGAGCTAATTTTTACTGAAAGTATTTGAAATGGACCTCTGTCCCAAGCATGAGGTTCTATTTTTTGCAGGAATAAACAACTAAAAGTTGCCTTCCTCATTTCAGCATGATTCATGAGCTACTCACCCGGGAAAAATAGAACTCAGCTGAGGCTCAGGGGTCTCCTTCAAATTTATAAAAGTAAAATTCTACAGTGCTAATCACAAACTATACATACAGGGATATTGTTAAAAGGGCAATTACCCTTTTAAAATTAGAAGTGTTTAATATCAAAATATATCTGGTACCAGCTCCTTGGTAAATTATCCCCCAAGTAACTAGATTGGCCAAATCTGTTGGCTGAAGCAAAAAATGAAGAATTGGAACATTTGATGGCATAAATATTGGCTGAATGGTTAGGAAAGGAAAAAGATGATCTAATTAAAGAGTTTGATGAGGTATATAGGGTTAGCACAAGCTACGCCAGATGCGACAACTGTCCAAGAGAAATCCATATCCGCTTCTCTAGGAGATGTCTGAGGGATTTAATTTTGAAAATGTCTAGGGAGGAAACAATATCATATAACGGCAGAGAAATTAGGATTTTAAAACAAATTCCAAAGAAAGTGAGGATGATAAGACAAGATTATAAATTTCTAGCTAATGATTTAAATAAAAAAGGAATCCAATTTAAATGGTTAATCCCGAAAGGGATGTTAATTACGTGGAAAGAGAGGAAAATCAAAATAGAATCGATAGAACAGGCCCAAGATTTTTATCAACAGCTCACGGATACAAATGGTCAATCCACTAAAGAAGAACTTAAAAGGAGATCACAGGAGGACCGATATCATCACAGAACCCAAAAGGAATGACTTTCTCCAATTTCAGGAAGTGATAAACCACAACCTGGGAGAGAAGAGCAAATCCCACAACAACAAGAGAACCGAATCATTACTAGGCAAAAATCTAAGCAGACGTAGATAAATGGTGGAGGGGAAGAAGTTGCTCTCCATCAATATAAACGGATTAAATTCAATATCAAAAAGAAAAAGGATATTTTCAAAACGTATTCGACATAATGCAGATATAATATGTCTTCAAGAAACACATATTTCGAAAAATGATGAAAGACATCTAATTTGTCCAAAATTAGGGAAACCTTTTACGGCACCGGCCGATAAACACAAGAAAAAAGGAATTGCAATTTACGTAAAACAAGATGTAAAGGCAGAATTAACCTGGTCGGATCCCAAAGGAAGAACTCTGGTTATACAAGTTTGGATAAACCCCTCTTTCTCTAATGGATTCCTTCTCCAGAGGAATTTAGTATGTTGGATCCTTCTTGGGCCCCCATACCTGCCATGGCTTCAGCCTTGGAACCTCCAGTGTCTCTTGGACCTCCTTCCCTCTTCTCCAGGATCTGGATGAATATGCAGCCTTCAAGACATGAGCCAGAGTCATAAAGATAATGTAACCAGAATCACTGTTTTCAACCAAAATCCCGTTCAATTCATCTTCTGTCTCCACAGCAGTTTTTTGGGTGCATCTTTTCTGGCCTTTGACAGCATAAACATGCGTTGAAAAAGAACACTGAAAACTCTTGTTCTCATACTGGGAGTCTATAAAGGAAAAGGCTTCGAAACCACCATAGGTTGGCCTTATATTTTGCATAAATTCAAAGCTCCAAATACTATGGATATATTTGTGATATCCAAGATGACTTATTATATAGTTTCCCAAAGTTGTGGTGATCCAGATTTTCTCTCTAATGGGTCCTGACAAAGTGGCAAGTGTTATCTGAAAAATATGAAATGTGCTTGAAACGATAATGTGTTCTGTGAAGTGAACAAAGACATTGACTTGTTTCCAGTGAGAAAAGCTGGAATCCTTGAAGGGTACTAGATCTCCAGTCATTGAGAATTGTTGGGATATAACAACACAAATTCCTTTCCTGACAAGCAAAGGAGGGAAAATCCTCAGGAAATTTTCTCCCTCCTCTGTGTCTGGAGCAAGGAGACCAATCAAGGTCCATCTGAAATGAAGGAGCACTTGGACAATTGCTGAATAATGAAACCCTTCTTTAGGGAGCATCTGGTGGAAAAATGGGAATTTACTTTTGTCACTCAGAGTCTCTGAAGCAATTCTATGACTGATCTGGAAAAGCAAGGAAGAATGCTGTGTTATATTTGGGGATCAGGTCTTCTTCCCCGCAGAAATATCTATGTTACAAGAACTGATTACCTTATTACTTTTAGATTGCTGGGGACAAAAGTGTTTTGTATCAATTAACTCTCTGTCCCCATTGATTAGTTGAAATGTTTCTCCAGAAAACCTGTGAATGTAATGCCAAGTAACTCAGTCCCTTTCTTTGATGGATGCAAATAATCTCTTTCACAATTATTTTCATGAATATGGCATTTGTTCAGCATTATCACCATTTTTCTAAGATCATGTGCAAAATGTGAGCTTTCCATCAGTGCTGCACTTTCTTGTTGTACAGAAGATCCTTTGATTGGACACAGAGCCTCTCCTCATCTTCACAAGTATGCAGGAGAAGCCCCCAAAGCAACAGAGATGTTATCATGAGAGGATATGACTATTTTGATATATGCTCCCATCTTAATGTATTTCCCAGTTCCCAGACATGACACCTACAATGAACACAGTTGAAAAGCAGCTCTTGAACTCCATAGAGAAGATACGGTTGGATCTATCATGCACCCACTACCACTACCACTACCACTTCACTTTACTATATAGAGGAACATACACACAGACCTGTGGGACTTTGTAGGTGTCTACTAATGTGGACATCTGGTTGGAAATCTCCCTGTCAGCTGCATCAAAAAGAGCTAAAATGTTGTCCCTCCTTCCACAGCTGTAGTTGGGAACATTGGCTTTTCCAGTGGAGAGCATGTCCAGCAAGACTTCTGAAGTGCCAAGTGTGTTCAAATAGTTATCATGGATATTGTAGCCAAGTGTGAGATTGCACAGGAGCTGGATAGTCTTGTTGATCTCTTGAATGGTGAAAATAAAGCGTTCTATTCCTTTGGAAGCATAAGGTAAACTAATGTGAAAAAATGCTTTGGTTAATACAAGCATTATCAATAGCAGTAACGCAATACATTTACTCCAATTTCAGTCTCTTTATCGACACATGTGTCAACCATGGAAGCCATATTTGTTTTAGCCATATATTTTCTTAGAAACTTCAAGGCTGCCACAGTTAATGCCTGTGAATTTGGGAGGGGAAAATTCTTAGCGAGTAGTAGATTAGATTCAACAACATTCTTCTCAAAAGTCAAGGACATGTCACCCTGCATCTTGATGGGAGTGGGCAAAGGTTTGGCTTCGGGTAGAACAACATTTGATTGGGTCCTGTGTGATGGGCTGATGGGTGCAGGGGATGGATCTTTGATTTTCAATTGTGGGGAAGGGAAAACCTGGAAGTTTTGATTTGGGTTTCCCAGATGTGCCAACATGACATCTTTAATAAATTCTTACTTGCATGGACTGTCTCTGAGAAAGGAATTGAGGAGTTTCTTTGGAATGTTAACAACATGACTGTGGAGTCTGAATTCAACACTGATTGAAAACAAGAGGCAAATGAGAGTCACCCATGAAATTTAATGTTTGTAAATGTTGAGAAAATGAGAAGCAGATAAGAATCACAAATACTCTTATTATTTATAGCAGCAGTAATTTTCATCAGAACAGTCACCAGTCTGCAAAATAACTCATTTTTAAAAGTACAACCATCATAAAAGGAAGAGAATATTTCATAAGTGACCCACAAAAAGCAAGTCATACTCTATTCCTGAAAGGATGAGATAAGCAGTTATAAAAATATGGAAATGAGCTGGTCAGGGTTAACTACAACAATCACCATTTAAAAAAAAAAAACCATCATTATTCAAGTCATAAATTCTAGATTTAACATAGAGAGGAAAATAATGTGGACTTCTTTCAGGTAATTTTCTTCTGCTCCATCTTTGAATTTGTGTTCCTTCCACTGAATAAGACAAAACAGAAAAGCCATGGAAATCTTATCCATTAACAAAATTAATCACTTCCTGAAATATATGGGTAAGCAGAATAAAAGAATGAGAAGAGAAAAGAATCACTGCGGCAAGAATGGTATTTGCCCAGAAGTGGAAGGAGAAAGAAATCCCTAGTGAAGAGGAAGTAATAAGTAAAATTCTAACTGTGCTGAAATGGATAGGCTAACACTAGAGATGAAAAATAAAGATGAATATTATACAGTTTGGAATAGATGTTACTATTGGTGAGGACAGAAAGGAAGGGTTTAAGATGGAAAAGAGTTGTTAAGTGGACATCTGTGATCATGAGACTAAAATAATACTAAGAATGTTGAAAGATGCAAGTAAGGATGAATAAATGTATAAATGTGTGTATATGTACAAATGTATATAAGATCTCTATATAATTATATTTCACTGGGATGATGACCAAAAGCTATGTCAAAATGACTCCACCATGTTGAATGTTTTTAAATATTATGTTTAATAAAAAAAAATTAAAAAATCAGAGTGCTAGAACTGCAGATGGAAGGAATACAATTTCATCACACTGAATAACTTACAAGAGAGGCTGATTATAAGGAAGCAGGTTGAAAAGCAACATTTTCTGTGATAGTGTTACTGCGCTGGTGACTATACCAATGAGATGATCTCCTGGCCTGTAGTGGCTCCAGGGTCTTTCTCTATCCAGGGGGACCGAATTCAGCAGGCACTTCATTCTAAGCTTCCCAGAGACTGTCTGGGACACCAGGAATATCGAAAGGAGAAGCAAGAGGTCCATAATTCATGGAGCTGGATCAACTGCCTGTTTCCAAAGAAGAGTTAGATGATTTCAAAGCACTCTCAGAAAATGGAATTTGAATTTTCTTTTTCAAACAAAAACAAATCAAGGTTCATTTGAAAAAGAGAGAAAGGTACATTCAGCAGCACAGCTCCTGTCTTGTGTCCTAAATCTTGTGCATACCATTCAGCACAAGTAGAGGCTTATATCTTTTTCTGATGCAAGATCCATTCCATGTTGCTTCAGTCTGATGTTATATCAAAGGCAGCCTCTGGAAAGGCAGCTGTAGACATCTCAAAGTCTGGGATTGTGGTAATTACTGTGAGTGATAATTTGTCCTCCAGATCTCTTCCAGGGGTTCATATAGAGAGGGGCAGCTGGAGTAAAGGATTCTGGTGAAATGTTGCAGCTATACCCCTGGAGACACTCTTCTATAATGGTTGTCATCAGTGGTGGGATTCAAAATTTTTTTACTACTGGTTCTGTGGGCGTAGCTTGGTGGGTGTGGCAGAGAAGGATACTGTAAATTCTCCATTCCCTCCCGACTCCTGGGGAAAGGGAAAATCTCCATTCCCTCCTGACCCCACTAACCTGCTTTCCAGCTCTGTTCTCCTGTGCAGGGCAACAAAAGAAGACCCAGCCAATCAGCTGGGTCTCAGAAGGCAGAGGATAGATGGGGGAAGGGCCAGTCAGAGGTGGTATTTGACGGTTCTCTGAACTACTCAAAATTGCTGCTACCAGAACTGGTCAGAACCTGCTGAACACCACCTCTGGTTGTCATCCTTCTGGTTAGGATGCATCCAGAAAGTGATACTGGAGGAAGATACTCCAACATGCCTGTACAATGGGATCATCTCAGTCTGCTGAATTACACTTCTACGAGGTTCTTTTCAGTGGTGGGATTCAAAAAAAAATTACAACTCATTCTGTGGACATGGCTTGGTGGCCATGGTGTGGCTTGATGGGTATGGCAGGGGAAAGATACTGAAAAATCCCCATTTACTCCCCCCCCCCCGCTCTTTTGAGCTCTGTTCTCCTTTGCAGGGCAACAAAAGGAGACCCAGCCAATCAGCTGGGACTTGGGAGGCAGAGAATAGATGGGGGCAGGGCCAGTCAGAGGTGGTATTTGCTGGTTCTCTGAACTACTCAAAAATTTCTGTTATCGGTTCTCCAGAACTGGTCAGAACTGGCTGGTTCTTTTCCCATAGATGTTGCCTTCTTTACTAAAAGTGAATGTACCAACATTTGTCCACTAACAGTATCTACTAAGCTTCTAACAGTGACCCCTTTGACTTTTGCTATGATCATAATTTTTCTCCCCAGAAATTCTCTCTCCAATTGACCGAGGGACAGATTAATTTAAAAAACAAACAATTATTATATATGCAATGGCATGATAGCATCTAATGGACCATTTACCATTAGATTCAAAGACTTCAAATTATTGTTTGGCAATAAAATAGCAAATTTACTCAGAAAAGGAAAACTACTATAGCTTTAAAAATGTATCTTTAACACTAAACTGAACTGGATTTTTCATAATCCAGCGTCCTTGGATTCACCTCTCAGGCTGTTTCTCTTTTAATTTCAAAAACTCTCTTCCTTTCACAGCCTGTGGAAGCCTGATTGGTGGCACTAGACCCATGTGGGGGTGGGCTTCAAAAAATTTAGAAAAGGGTTCTCTGCCCAGTTGCTGGGTGGGTGTGGCCATGGTGGGTGTGGCCTAGTCAGACTCCTGCAGCACGGGTGGGGGAAAACATTTTTGCCCTTCCCAGTGTCAGCATTGCAGAGAAATTCCATTCCTTCCAGTAACTCCAAGACACAAGCCATCTCAAAGTACTTTTATTGGAACAGTACCTGGCACATACTGGGGAAGTCCAGATCTTTTTTTCTGGCTTCCCACACAGTCCCAAGCTACAACCTCCACCTTTTTTTCCTCATCACCAGATGAGGAAAATGCACCAACCCCACAGTAAGTCTTATTCTTCTCTGGGCCACACTCTGTAACCTTGAACTATAAAACTAATCTATTTTGTCTACTAAGAGCTACTCAATTTACATCACCCCTCCCACATTCTTCAACTGTGTGGCAGCAATGAATTCCATAGCTGACACTCAGGCTGTGGAGACTTTCCTCAAGCCTACCAGAGGGTGAAAATAGCCTCTCTGGGTTCCAGAGGATCTCTAAAATCTGGAAATGGGCCCATTTCTGGCCTTCTGAACTTCTGGGAGGCCCATTTTTTGCCCTCCCTGAGGCTCTATGTGTGCCCTGCACTTACCTGCATCCAAAATGTGGGGACTCCTGGGAGGAGCTGGGTGGGGTGGGTGGGGCCAGCCAGGGGTGGAGTTTGGGGGATCTCTGAACTGCATAAAATCTTAGCTAGGGGCTCTCCCAAACCCCTGTGGACCCCCAGAAGCCCACTCCTGGACTGATCTGCATTTGTCAGCCACAACAGATATATTTATCTGGGAAAGCATTCATTTCCCAATCACAGTCTTCCTGAGCATCGTTATGCAATTCACCAGGCTTAGGCAATTCATACGTTAGGAGAATAGGAAAAAGGGAGTTAGAACAGAGCCTCAGGGTCAGTCTCTATTTGATCTAGGTCACATTCATTCCTCCAAACCCAAATTCCCTCTGACTTTTTGGACATCTCTGGTCATTTTCACAGCAGGACTAGGAAGAGCTGAGAATTGGAAAGGGAAGACCAAATATATTCAATGAACCTCTGTATTCAAAATAGACTTTTAAACACAGAGTGTTACTTTATCCACACCCATACATGGGACTGATACCAGTGGTGGGATTCAACAATTTTTACTATTGGTTCTGTGGGTGTGGCATGGCTTGGTGGGCATGGCTCTGTGGGTATGGCAGGGGAAGAATACTGCAAAATCCGCATTCTCTCCCCACTCCTGGGGGAAGGTTACTGCAAAATCTCATTCCCTCCCCACCCCACTAACCTGCTTTCCAGCTCTGAATACCATCTCTGGCTGGTACATGGCAACAATGTGAATCACGCTGCTAAGATCTGTTTCTTTTGAATCAAATAAAGGAGGCAAAATAAATAATTAAAGCTCACTGCAGTTATTATTCATTCAGTGTAGACTGGAAGAATTTCTCTTCAGAAAATAATGGAAGGAAATCATACAGACAAAAAGATGCACTCATATTTATAAAAATATAAATCATTTAGGCCAAAAGTCTCTAAAAATGTAAAATCATTTTTTTCCACCTGGATGATTGAATCTTCATTTACATTTTAAAATATACATTGGGGAGAAACATCTATAGTTGCTGTGACAACATTTAGTACATTCAATAATTTTCTGACTCTCTGCCTAACAAAATTTGTTTTGACTGAAGAAGTTACTAGGGTGAGTATGAAATGTCTCATTTTAATGAATGATGGTCCAGTTGCCATGATTTAACCTTTTAAAAATACATTTCAGAAAAGGAAGATAAGATGATAATTGTAGATATGTATACTTAATTTCATGTAAGCATGAATATTCACTATTAGTAAGCTTTAGTTTACTTTCCTGTCCATCTATGTTACGATGTCCCATGTTTCCCATTTATAAATTTCTTCTAGTTGTAAGCTGCTCCTTTGTATTCAGGTCTGGTCTCAGAATGATAATGTAGCACTTGGGGATGAATATGCAGCCCAGCAGACCAGCATTGGAGGTCAAGATGGAGAAGACCTGCACAGCCACCATGTATTTCCCTTTGGTGCTCGGATAAGAGGGCAGGAATGAAACCCAGACACTGCAGAAGATCAGCATGCTGAAGGTGATCAGTTTGGCTTCATTGAAAGTCCCAGGAAGATTTCTGGCTAGAAAAGCCACCATGAAACAGATGGAAGCCAGGAAGCCCATGTAGCTGAGGGTGAGGTAGAATATGAGAACAGAGCCTTCATTACATTGCAGGATGATCTCTCCAGGCTGGGAGTGGAAGTCAGAATCGGAAAATGGTGGACAAACTCCAAGCCAGATGGATCAGATGGTAATTTGGACAGCAGAACAAGAAAAGATGATGGAGTTGGCCAAGCTCTTCCCCAACCATCTCTTCACTCGGT